ATATATATAAAAGTCAACCATTACCACCCTTCTAACCATTGTAGCTCTTCATGTTAACAATCTCACCCCTTCGTTTTTGGCAGTTTCAAATAACTACCTATTATAAGCATTTAGTTGTTAGTTATTTCACATTGGTAAGCCACAAGCTCTTATGTCTCTATATATGTTGTAGTCTCCTTTCTCTCCACAACGACTAATTTGGAGAGACAATCTTGGGCTCCACGTATATCTTACAAAGTATCAAAACCGACTTTCAAAACCACATGACTAAACACATCATTGTCTGACCTCGTCGAGCCGGTGTATCTTTGAGGGGAGTGTTAGTGTATTACACTTTAGTGCAACCACATCACATAGATGTCCGCATTATCCCAAAAAGAGAACCTATATAGGCTTAAACACAATGCCTTGCACAATAAGCCCTTTACGAGGCATATTACCGTAAAGGGTGAGGCGAAGATTCGCCCAAACTTTTGCATCCCTAGTACCGGTTCGAAATTCCCACAACTGTACTTCCATCCAACCATCGTTCCTTTGTTGTGGAAGGCCTTTCATTTTTTCTCTTTTCCATGGGTTGTGGGTGTTTTCATAATACTTTCCTCTAATAATTGGGGTTTGAGGACAAAGTAAATAGATATACCATGAATAATTATTCTCATAACTATACGGACCTCCAAGGAAAACACCACCACTCACTTTCACAAGAGGCTCAGACTGATTTTTCCGTAATCTGTAAACAAGGTAAGTTGCATATGTTGTTTGACGTGACAACATATTGGATCGGCAGTATATCCAAAAGCTGCCACGAGGACGGAAGGCAACTTCTATAAATCTGCACAAAAGAAGAACAAAAACTAATTGTGCATAATATAAAAGCTGGTACAGAATGATTTGTGTTGTAGGGTTTCATTATACTGAATCCATCATAGGAATTACGCATCTTTTTTTTTATAATTTTTTTTATATCGTGAGTGCTAAATTTTTCTTGAAAAAGTGAAATAGATTAAGTACCAGAACCATAATGCTTGAAGTTATAAACACTTATGTTAGTTGATTTTTCAAATGGGTAACCCATTAGAGTTATGCCACGTACCCTTGAATATGAGCTAAAGGTGTTCATTACCTAAAAATTACAAAGTAGTGCATGCATATGGAGAACATAGACATGACTTTAAGAAAGCAGGCTGTAAGATAGAGAAAGTACCTTGATCGGGGTAATGATAGCCAACTCCACTCAGATTTATGGAAAGCCACTCTTGCTGATAACATATGACACATCCCATTTTTTGCAAGAGAAAACCACTGTCAATAATTAAGCGTCCAAGCAGTTATTTTTGAATTATGGAGTTCTTTCATGTGAACTGGTTAAATCATGAACATAAGTTCCACAACAACTACAATTGTACCAAATAAGTGATTGAAGTAATCTTAAGAATGTGCGAGAAATTATAAGAATTAATCGTTTATATAAAGTTTACCTCTTTACCATCATTGATTAGGAACCCTTTACGAAGAATAAAGTAGAGTTCCTTCTTTGTTGTGCATTGCACTGTATGTGTTGACAATTTAAGTATGTCCTCATAATTACTTGGCAATTTTTGTTCCCAATATGTGTCTGAATCTGAAATGGTTTGCATATCCACATCATCATCCTCGAACAGTTCATGCTCCACCTATAAAAACTCAAACATTAGACTTGATAAAACACACAAAACTTTATCCAAATTTGTTCTACTTGATACACCAGAATGCTTTCCCACCATAATAGGTCACACATAGTGGTTCTCTTACAGTGAAATTCTGTTAATTGCCGCTAATTGATTTTTAAGAACTTTTGAAGTACTAAAAGCGACATAAAAATATTAAAATGAATAAACTAGTATCGGTTGGCTTACCCTCTCAAGGGGCTGAAACTCGATGCCTTCAATTGTCAATGGACAATGGCAATCAAATGTAATTTCAAGATCAATATTTCTCCGTTCGCACGTAAACACAAACAATTCAGCCATCAACCATCCATCTTCTCTCTTATTTACAACGTACGAAGTCCAAGATTTTGTGTCCCCACGTAATATGTAATTGAAGCCTAAATACTCCATACTTGTGTAGTTAAAATCAAACACAAGGTTTACTCTGTATGTGACATGTGGTGATAAAAATTGTGCTCTAACATGTGTTTTGAATTCCCAATAAAATTGGGTATGGTGGTCCACTACAAATCTACAGAAGATGGAACAAATGAATACATTAATATGTAGTCATGAAGTAGTCTAAAACATCAATAACAATAGGAGGATAAGTAACCTTGATTTTACTGGACCATCATATTTATACACAGGAGATGCAGAGACAGTAGGAATGAAACATTCTGCTGCAGATATCATTTCACAGTGTTCTCCTTTCTTATTTAGCCAAAACCACTGTCCGTTAAAAGAGCTCAAAGTTAGTTGTGGTGTCGTAGGATCATGAGTAGATCTATGAAATTAAAGATCGGAGAGCCACGTTTTTGTTTGTTTTCAAGTTATGGTGAACGTATTAAAGCTAACGTAGCACCACCCAAGGGAGTGATGTGTATGCCTGTAGGCCTTATATAGTGTTTGGTATAGGTGGCACTTGGTGTGGTTGATGTGTGGCGCTAGTGTTGTTATGTTAAAAGTCGTATAATGGAATTCCTTAAGTGTTCTTAACATTTCATAAATCACAATTTACCATTCATAAAGCAAATAAATACAATGTCATGCAACTATTTATAAACATAGTTAATTACCGTTTTGCCGCCGTTAACAAGGATTCCATTGGAGAGAAGCATCTTGAGTTCCTCTTTGGATCTATAGACAATAAGAGGTATTGTCTTACTCATCTCTTGGTAGTATATTGGTTGTTCTACCACTTCAGAGATCTCCTGCAACCAACGCGCATTCTCAAGGTTTTCCACAACTTGATATATCGTTGGCCGTTTTTTACGAGATTTCTTTAAACATCGATAGGCAATCTCTTTAAATATTTCCAATGACCTCTGGTCCATGTGTTCCTTTATATTTTGAAAGATAACATCTTCTAATTTATTTTCTTTGTAGCTTTTTTTCCACTTTGGCACTAAAGATTGAAAATGAAGATTGTTATATTCAAAACATAGTCTCCCACATAGTGTTTCAAATAAAACCACACCAAAAGAGTATATATCCGACTCTTTTGTTAGGATGCTCGTCTCCATATATAGCGGATCTACATACCCAAGGGTACCTGTAGCATTGGAGACAAGAAGCGTGTGATGTTGATTAGCGGGTCCTATTTTCGACATTCCCATGTCTGAAACTTTTGCATTCCAATTCTCATCAAGTAGAATGTTGGAACTTTTTATATCCCGATGGAGAACTCTAATTTGTGTCTCCTTAGGATCATGAAGGTACCTTAGCCCCCTTGCAGCCGCAAGGCATATCTTGAGGCGTTGCTTCCATGTTAGAGTAGAAGTACCCAGATGGTGATCGAGGCTACCATGAGATGCATGCTCATATACAAGGATCTTCTCACCATCCTCATCACAAAATCCGAGGAGAGAGATGAGATTTTCATGTGTGTAACGGGAAAGGATCATGATCTCTTTCCAAAACTCAAGGTCTCCTTGCCCATAGTAACGATCTAGACGCTTAAAAGCAACAATTCCTTGCCCTCTAGAGTGAGAGAGTATTCCTTTATACACCTTCCCGAATCCACCTTTTCCAATAACATTGTCCTCATCAAAGATACCAGTGGCCGACTTTATCTCTTTCAGTTGGATTCTAAGATGTTGAAACTCTTCCAAAAAAGCCTCCATTATTTGTTGATCAAATGGTAGTTAGAAAATTTTAGTGTTAAAATTAAAGCAATTGGAAATACAGAACTAAGAAGCCGATTCTTTTATTTGCAAGAAGGCCTTTATGTGTGGGAGACGAGATGTCTTGATCACACATAATTGACTAAATTTTAATTACAAAATTCCAAACGTGTTGTTAGGTGAAGAATATAATAATATAATGAACATACATAATTGATCAATTTGTAATTATAAAAGGCAAGGTAGCCATAGGACAAAGGACATGTTCCTGCCACTCTATTCTTAATTTCTTTTAGTTTTTCTATATATTATTTTAAAATTATATGTTCGTTTACACTCTTCTTTTTATAAATTCGTTTTTAGTTTGGTAATTTGATTTTTTAATTTAATTTCATATATATATATATATATATATATATATATATATATATATATATATATATATATATATAT